AACCTTTGAAGGAAAAGACATTCAAGAGGGCCAGGTGTTGGTGGTGAACGTCTTTATTCCCAGCACTTGGGAGGCAGAGGCAGGCAGATCTCTGTGAGTTCAAGGCCAGCCTGGTCTACAGATCAAGTGCCAAGATAGGCTCCAAAGCTACACAGAGAAACCCTGTCTCGAATCTCGGGGTGGGGGGGGAAGTCATTCAAGAGGAGCTACAATGATAATGACCTTCTAAAATCACCAGCTCTCAGAACCCTACACTGTTGGAGCCCTGGCACAAACAACCTGGAGAAAAGCCTACTGTCCTGCCACAGATTCGGAAGCCACACATCCTGTTATCTGATGAGCTTTATTCTTGCCCTCCTCTTCGGTAAACTGTGTATGGAAATAGCTAGAGAAATAGAGCACACCCAACAAGTTTGGAGATTCTCAAATGCCTGGGAATGCTGGGAAGCTGGAGTTTGGTTACATGCTTTGGAGCAGTGGTTCTCAACCTTCCTAATGCCATGACCCTTCAACAAAGTTCTTCATGTTGTGCTGACCCCAACCACAAAATTATTTTCATTGCTACTTGATTACTGGGATTTTACTTCTGTTATGAATAATAATGGAGATATTTTTGGAGACAGAGGGTTGCCAAAAGGACCTCGACACGAAGGTTGAGAACCACTGTTTGAGGTTTCCAGGCTCCTGCACTGAGTGTGTCAGAATGAAGAAGTTGTGTTTCTTTGATTGTCTTTCAGGGAATATTTTTAGCAGCCTGCTCTACTGTTAAAAACTGCACGGTGATCTTGACAAATGTATAATGTCAGCTTTAATGTATCAGACCTATCAGCTCAATGAAAATAACTCAGAAGTATTGATCACCTAATGATTTTTGGTGTATTCATTAATGTCTACGAGCAGCTCATCCCCTCTCCAGAGCTACCGGAGTGCTGATGACACGTAGCAAACTGCTGATTGTTTATTAGAAAACTGATTAGTTACTGGATTAGTGTGTTAAAATATACTACCTTTCACTACTTGACAAACTTTCAAATTATTATATTTCTTTTTTTAATTTTGAAGCTGTAGGATCAATTTCAAGGAGAGCAAAAAAAAAAAAATAGGGTTGAACAATTGCGGGGAATGACAATTTACCTGGCTGTGCCTTCACCCTTCTCATCCTGTATAATATTAAAATGTGAAGACTTCACATGCAGGAAGCCGGGGGTTTTACATAAGACTGGTCTGTATCTCTATGTGACACTCAGACGTCCATGCTGGATGACCACAGCTACAGGAGGGTCACATTCTTCTCAGGTGTTTGCTTAAACATCTCATTGAGATTTACATACATAGAGCAATCTACTATAATCATCAGAAAATTCTCCCCAGCAATGATGCATAAAAATACCAGCCGTGCAAAGACCATGTCTAGTCTCATCTTTTCGCCAAATAGAAGGAAAATAACATGTCAATGTGGAGAAATTACTTGAATTTAGATTCTATTCCCAGGAATTTTCTCTTCTTGAGAAACATGGATTATTAGACATACTAACTATGCCATTTGGGAGTGATAAAGATTTGTATATTTGAGAAAGTAAAGACATAGATATAAGAATATCTTTTTTTAAACTAAGACTAGGATTTCAGTTTTGTACCTATCATCTTAAACTCCAGAGGAGAAAACACTACAAAATATTTTCATAGCTTTATGGCACTCATCAGAAAGACCTGCTCCATCAGCATGGAACTCATCAGAAAGACCTACTCCATCATGTACCTTGGTTCTGGGAGGTCAGAGCAGGGCTTCAGCTGAGCTGGCATTTAACTCTGAATAGCAATCTTGTGCCTTCCCTTGGCACGGGCACTGATGTCACAGCCTTGAAGGGAACATCACAGGCACATGCATGTGGAAAGTCTTCCAAATGCTTCAGTAAACAGAAAGTCCCAACTTCCTACAGGTATGAGAGTCTGAATTAGCCTTGATTTCCCTTTTCAGTTTGACATCCTTCTCTTGTAACTGTGGTGGCTGATTGGATGATATGAACTGAAACGTCACAAAATGGTGTAAAGTTCTACTACACAGAAAACCTGCAAGAATCTTTCTGTGCATCTGCCATGTGTTATGAAATACTTGAATTGGATCAAACTGCCTAAGGCTTCATACACAGTAAATGCATGAAGTGTCTTTTCAGATTTGCTTTGAGTTTTGTCTACATCTTGCTTAAATATTGGACATACTTGGGAATTTTCTTTTGTTTCGTTATTCTGAGCCAAACTCCCTTTGCTGAAGGCAAAAAACATCATGGTGAATATTTTCACTGGCTTCTAAAATATGGTAGAGGTGATTTCCTAGGGCAAGTCCTGGCCTGAACATGCAGTTTCCTAGGTGGAAAAATCCCCTACCCCAAACCTTATGAGATCCCATTTAGCACAAGACAAGGAAAAATGAGTTCTCATTGCCAGCCCTCTGACATCTCTACCAACTACCCTTCCTGCAGTACAGGGGGTAGCCATTGCTATTAAGTGATAGGATCTCTCGAATCTGCTCCTTGCTCATGACTTCAGTCTCATATAGCAACTAAAAGCCAAAGTCTTTGGTGTAGACCATTTTTGTTTGTTTTCTTGTGGGTTGCTTTAGCCTCCATTAACTGTTGACTGGCTCAGGAACTACCTAGAACTTAGGACATAGGTTCTTCCAGGGAGGTTCCAGCTAATCAGATGTGTGGTAAAGGCTACCAGAATTCTAGATGCACAACATTACTGTCCCTTTGGCCACCTTGGGAGGCCAGCAGTCTCCTTGTCCTTTAGCCAAGTTCTGAGCAACAGAGGTAAGGATTATGAAAGGGTTTTCCCTGACACAACAGGCTCAGTCTCTGCTCACCCTGGAGATTTTTGAGAAGACTTTCTGGGTTGAGGGGACAATTTGTGGACTGAGCCAAGCCACTTGGGTCATCTACTTGGAAGTTGCTTTGGGCATACAGTTTAGGTTTGTACATCTTTACAAGATTCTTTTTAGCCTTGCAGCATTGTTTAAGCCAATGCCCATTAGTTGAAGTAGTAAAATGAACTGTGGTGGTGAAACCATTTTTATTGACTAATCTACAACAAAAAGTTTTTTAATGTTTGTTTTATAAGCTTGTAAAAGGATATCTTCATAATATTTACAAATGTCCATGGGTTGCATATCCATGGGCTGGGTTAGAAGAGTCTCAAACTCCCTTGCAATAGTACAATTCTGAAAGACCTTGTATACTAAAGGATTTAGCTTTCCATTTCCTAGAAGATGTTTAAATCTCACAGTTTCAAAATAAGCATACGTTCAGCTCTCCTCTGGAAATATATACTTGATCACTTTAAATGCCCCAAATATTATAACATATGGCTATTTTGCAGAAGAAGAAGAAGAAGAAGAAGAAGAAGAAGAAGAAGAAGAAGAAGAAGAAGAAGAAGAAGAAGAAGAAGAAGAAGAAGAAAACAGACTGAAACAGCCAGATAGAATGTTATCAAGCAATCTGGCTCCTTTATGATCTTTTGTTCAGTTGTTTTTTCCAGATGAAAGCAGGCATAAACAAAAGAACAATACTGCCGGTAAGGAGGGAAAGCACAATCACTAAAGCACTTCAAATATTAGTCTGACGAATTAAAATTAAGTTAAGATGGCAACTCTATTGAAAACATGACAAAAACAGGATGTTAAAGAAAAAAATTGAGTGGAATCAACAAGGTTACACATAAGTAACACCTTAACATTAATAGAAATCTATTTCCCATCTTGACCCTGAAACCACTTCAATTAATTACTAAAATCTATTTACACTGCAACAAGATAAAAATCAATCTGATTCCTGGCACCGAATCCATTTGGTTGCCCTCTCTAATATAAGGGACCAATAGGATCCTCATTCCTCCCAAACCCTCAAAGAGGTATAGTTGCCTAATAACTCCACAACAGTGGCCAAGACAGACTCTGTGAACCCCTGGGAATCAGACCTGAGTGTCCATCCATCCATCCATCAGGCATGTCACAAACACCCAAGACAGGGGATTTTTAAGATAGGGAGAAGTCAACTGACCCCTCAGAAAGGTGGCCTCTTCACACTATTGCAGCCTCTTGGGATAGAACTCAGTTGGTAAATCGTAAGCTCGATTTTAGGTATCATCCTGTCACACTTAGCCCAAACACTTTATGTGGTAAACAAGTACACAGTTTTTATTATTAATATAACCAATTAAACCATTAAGGAACATAGTTAACAATGATGGAGTGGCTGGAAAGATAGATCAGCAGGTAAAGGTGCTTGTCACCAAGCCTGACAACCTGAGTTTGAGCCTCAGGACACACATGGTGGAAGGAGGGAACGAATTTGTTTGTACAAATTGTCTTCTGATCTCTACGCATATGCAGTGACACATATATGCCCACATAAACAAACACATGCACACTAATAATTAATCGATGAGAGCACGGAATGGGAAACTTGGGAAATTACTTGGCTGAGTCTGAGCAAGGACTTTTAGTCTCCTACAATCACTTCCTGTCCTGCTTGAGCTTGTCCTACAGAAGGTGAATAAGGCTGGCCATCTGTGTTTTTTATTTCTCTTTCACAAGGAGAGAAAGCTAGCCCAGCCACTGAGTAGAGATGTAAAGACACCGAGGCAAAAGAGTTCATGAACTCAACTGTTCTGACACCACCAGCCTGATATGTGCAGGTTCCAAGTCCCTCCCTGCCGTTTGAACTACTAGAAACAGCCTCTTTGCCTCTTCTCCCTTGAATGTCTGGCAAACTCCTGTTGATCCTTCATATATATGTTAAACATTGTATCCCAAATAGATCTGATGGTTCTATTTCTCTGATACTCCTCAACATTGTACATATATGTCTTGTTATCTTTTCCATACTTTGTCAGAAGAATCATGGATTGGATTTCCCCTTAGATTGTGAGGCCTTCAAAGTCAAGATGAAAATGGCCTGAGTCTTGACCAATATAAAAGTAAGCATCTATTGTTATTGAATAAA